AAATATCCAAGCCTGTGCCAAGATTCAGAACAGTTGGGATCAGGCCTCCTTTAAGACTGCTTCATCTAAGACCAAGCAATCATGAAGAGGCAGCCAGAAGAGTATTCTGGCCAGAAATCCACTGCTTTCTGTGGGCCACTGTGACATAAATTTACCACCTCTATTCATAATAGTCAGAACCTAACAAGTGGGGCCTTGAGGATGGAAGTGGGTCCACTGGCAGAAAGAACTAAGGTTGATTGATCCATGAAGGATGGATGGAGGGAAGATTGCTCATGAAAACAGTCTATGCAGGAAATCCTACTGGAAACACATTGGCATTTGTGTCACTGGAAAGTTTAATCCGAACTGGTATTTATCTGCCTAGATTTTAGTTTTTTGCATGGATTATTTGAACAGTCTGAGTGACCCATGTGTACCATAAGAAGAACTAGGAAGAAAGAGAAGGAAAGGAGTTATTCCCAAGGTGAAAGCAGCTCAGGAGTTGCCTGTAGTACCATGGTATCCCTCTTGCTTAAGCAATGACAGACCATGGATCTCATCTATTTAGAGACTCTACAGAGGTAGCCTTGTGATAGCTCTGACCCAAGAACCATGCTGGAGATCCCAAAGATGCAGAGGGACTGGGTAAAGACAGGGCTAAGTGGAGGACCAAAGTGAATGTTTCCCTTCTTCCTGCCCACCCCTGGCTTGCTCACTGCTCTCCACAAAGCAAGCAGTTTCCTCTGCAGAAGCAGGTGATATGGTAGAGAAGATATCAGGAATAACAAGCAATTCTGCAGGATAAGTAGTAAACCCCTATAGAATATATAATCCTTTTAGAAGAACTCTTCTGGAAATACTGTAAAAATATCTGTTTATTTACTGAGGGAATGGGGGGGGGCACAGATGATAAGCTTCCTATCAGTCAGAAACAGTCAGCATGAACAAGCTTTAATTTGCTCTGAGAGTTGGAGGAAAAAAATAAATTCCTTTCATTCAGGGCACTAACACATCATCTATGCACACAATGTGTTTTTGCTTATGAAGTATTAATGTTAATATGATTTCACCCCTGAGTAAATAGGATAGTAGATCTATTTCTATACATGTGCTTTTAAGAACCTGTTTGAAGGAGCTAGTTTTAGTCCATCCATTGAATAATAAAGTAAACCCCAAATGAGGAGGGAAAAAAACAACCAAGAGCTTGAATTCAGAGTTAATCATTTCAAGCTCCATAAATCTTCAGAGTCTGTCGAGGCGTATGCGAGACATACCTGTATCTGAGCAGCAAAGATTAAGATATAAGATCAATATGTGTAATCAAAGTGTGGTTTATTTTTTCCCCCTTTCTCAAATGATGGCTAATAAGACCTGGGAAGAATTGAGAATAGCTCTGAAAAAAGCAAATAAACTCCAGAGATACAATCTGTTCAAGTAAGAGACTGGTTATAAACATGTTACCGTTTGGTAGCAGGCACTGGAATATTTCCAGTTCTCTGCAACTTGTGGAAAAAATTAAGAACAATTAAGAAGCTGATACTGGCATTATCTAGGTACACAGGCATGTTAGACACCACATTAGTGTTAATTAGGTCAGAGCCACCTTTTGGGGAGTGTGTGTGTGGAGGGGGAAGGGATGGGTCGAACCCCCTGGAGATGAAGTGGTGTCCTGTCCCTCACGACAGCGCCTGGAACCCACATGGGGAAGCCCCGGAGCAGCTGCTGGTCACAAAGAACTCAGGAAAACTGTAACACCCTGGAGCCCCTAACCCAGCTCAGAGTGGCAGGGACAGTGGGAACACTGCTTCTCACCCTGGCCTGGAACCCCAGAGTGGCCAGCAGGTCAGAGACCCTGCCTGGGGAGGGTGATCATAGGGACCAGAGCAGATAAAACCATAGGCGTGTGTTTGCCTCGTGTCGTGGCCTTGCCCTTTGGACATGTGAGAGCTGGTCTGCCACAAAGTTTCAGTGGTAGCTGTATGATCTGTCTCTCCCTGTTTCTCCTCTCTTCTTGCCCCCTCTGCTTCTCTTTAGTTGCTCCTTTCTGGATGCTTTGAGTGGCTTGGAGCTGGTGGGACTGGATTTTCACTGAAATGCTGTGGATAGACTGGATCTTGACTTAAGTGTTGTGCTGTGTTGGTATTGCAGCGGAACATTTTATCTAGCTTGTGTAGTGCCCTTTTTGAACCTTTGCCAAGTGCCCTTATTTTCCCCCCTAAATTAACACAGAAATCCCTTGAATGAGTCCATGGATTATTCTCTTGACACTATCTCGAGGTATTAAAGAACCCTATATCTCTATCTGAAAGTAAACCCCTTAGCTGAGGCCCATGAGCCTGCAGCTCCCAGGGCTGGAGCGTTACAATGCACGAGGAAAACAACACAGGGCCTGATCCAGAACTCTCTGAAGACACAGGGTAGTAGTGATTTAGACTCAGAAATCAAAGAGTTCCTTTTACAATTCCCTCCTATATTTAACCCCAACTGTGACAGAAGCATCATCGTCTGCCAGAAAAGCATCCAATTTTCATATTTTTTTTTTTTTCCATGGATAATTCCATCCCAGGTGGATGGAAGGAGAGAGACGCAATGTATCACACAGAAAGTGACAAGTTTGCACATCCAGGTCCACGGGAATAACACGACAGAGCTCCCTGTCTACACTGTCAGCCTTTAGAGTCCAACACACACCTCCAGAGAGCACCACGGCAGTGCCAGGCTGGAGCAGCTCCGAGTGCTCAACTCGGGCAAAGCTTTCCAAGAGTGAAGTTCAGTGCTTAAACAGGTGCCAAGTTCTTGGGTTCTGATGCACAAAAAAGACCCAGTGTCTGTTAAAGTTAAGAACTTGTTAGAGAGCACCATAAAGAGCTTGATGGAAGTGCAGAGTCTGGGTTGTGGCAGCGACAAACAGAGGTAAAATCACGTTGTGCCAGAAGGGTAAGCATTAGCAGAGTAATGGCCACATGAGGCTAAGTATGTCCCAACATCTGTAAAGTTCCAAGAATCAATATCTAAAAATGGGAAAGAAGAGTTAATCAAACAATAAGCTTGAAAAGGGACAGATTTCCCATGCCACGTTTTCCCAGATTTGTCTTTAGCAATAAAATCAAGAGAGCTGTAGAGTCCAACTCTTGCTGCTTAGACCACAAGAAACTCTAGAGTAACTGCAATCTAACATTAAAAAAAAAAAAGGTTGTTGTTTTAAAAATAACTTTTAAAAATAAGTTTTTCCACGTTTGCAAAGCTATGTTTTGAAGGTAAACCTATTATTTTACCCTTCATCTCATCTAGCAAGAAATCTGACATCAAGCAACCTGACATGCACGAAGCAGTCTGTACTTTTGTGGGTGGCAAATCTGTTCACTGACAAACTTCTAGAAAACCTGTCACACAGCAGGCTCTGGAGGTCCCAGAAAGCAGCAGGACAATCTGCTGCAGACCTGCCTGGGCCTGAGCTCTAGGTGGATAACACACATGACCATATTGCAGGGTATGGCTCTCTCTTGGCAAGCAGTGGCTCAGCATCTTTGGCAAATGGCAAGAAAGCAGGGAAGAAAATTAGAGGTCATGAGGAGCACCATCATAATGGACTTATTGGCAAATGCCTGTTGCAAGACAAATAACTATAGGGAGGCAGGAGCTTCAGAAACACCTGCGTTCACCAACTGTCTTGCCAATCATCACAAACTGTCCATTTCCATGCCTGCAGTTCTGCATCAGAACCCTTTATCATACATCACTCTTTGATATATTGAGCATTTCTATTAGTGATATGTGCCACAAATTACAAAATGAAACTGTGCAACTCAATTATATAAAAATAGGCCTGTTTTAGTTTGAAGAAAAAAACTGGAATAAAACCAGGTTTAGTTTCCCTGTCGAAGCTCCCTTTTTTCTGTGCCAATCATTTTTGGTCAGAAACTACTTAAAACCTACTTCTAGGTTACAAGCAGTTGATCAAATATATATAAAAACAAGGCATCAGTAGGATTATCAGCTAAATGATCAAAACCATGTAGTTAAAAGTTTACATGAAAGGTAGGAAAGTTCTCATTATCTAAGGAACAATGAAAAGGCTTCACCACAAGAAAAGAAAAATAAATACTCTGTATATCTTAAGCTGTCTGCACAGTTTTGATTTAGTACTGAAGGTTAATCCATCCTAAACTACTATCAAGCAGTGGTGACAACATTCATCATTCTTTTAACTGGAAGTAAAGACAAGATGCCTGGTCTGTATGGGAAACAGGAATTTTCGTTCCTCAAATGTCACAGAGATTTGGAACATGACTTCAGTCCAAATCGGAGAGGAAAATGCACAAATTGCATCAAAAGTATCTAAACAGGGACATTTAAAAAGGTTGGTTTAGTTCTTCAGATATTCAGGTTATTTTGATTTTTGTTTCTTTTACTGTGCAAAAAAGCCACAGTGGAATTGAATCTAAGACACCAAAATCCCAAATCTGGACAAATGGCAACATCAACAATAAAATTATAAACATGAAGTGAACCAAAATATTTAATTTGGAAAAAATACAAATAAGCGATTTTCAAAACTTCTTGTTTCAAAAACATCTCCTCCTCGTCTTTCTTCCTGAAAAACCCCACCTGTCAATTTTGAAATGCATTTTGCTTTGGATAGAATTCCAAGAAAACAACTCCCTCAGCATTTCCCCAATCAGCTGTATTCCTGAGGACTGACAGTAAGCTACAGATAAAGTACCTCAGGTTTCAGAGGGGATTGAAGCACCTACATTGAGCATAAGGAATGTGCAACCCCTTCTGCCTTGAGAGTCTTAAAATAGTCACATTTCTCCACCATATCTAGGCAGCCAGTCCCTGTCCACTCCTATTCCTACTGCTGTCAACCTGCAATACAGCCTGTAAAGTGGGAGAAAACGGAATTAGTGGCAAATTTCCTTCTGCTCCTGTTCTTTTGAGGCATATTCTTCATTTTCCCAGTGGCAGAGTTACAGCTGCAGCAGCACAGAAGGCAGAGACAGAGACTTTGCTCCTACCTGCATGAAGCGCTGCTTGACTTCATTTGCTCTTTCATTATTCCAAGCTTATGCAGGAGAAAGTTTATCTCCTCCCCTCCTCTCCCAAGAGGCTTATTTGTTCATCAGGCATTTATTTATTTATTTATTTTAAAAAAAAGCTCTGCTAATTTCCATGCACATTGCAGGGGAAAATAGATGCTTTTTATAGATTTATTTAATTCACAGATGCTATTTTAATTGGTCTCCCATACAATTGTCTCTCACTGGGAATCTGGATGGCTCTGGGGAATTGGCAGCGACTTTCAGAGCTTTTCCAGGTCAGTGATTCAGATGTAACCAGAGTCACTGGTGGCTGAGAATTAATGTGGAGAAAACTATTTGACAGCCTGCGTGAAATAAAGTAATGATTTCAGTCCAGTTGTGGTTTGACAGATTACCAGCAAAACCAATCAGTGCTTTTATGGGCCTTTTTGGAAAAGGAGCCAGAAAATTAGCTTCTGCAAATTATCTTGCACATTAGGACTGAAGGCAGCCACCAGACTTGCATTATCACAGCACCTTTTTCAAGGTTAATTATGAAGATTTCATGTTTTTTCCAAATTCTGCCACTTCAGGATTCTGGGGACTGTTTTCCACACTCTGCTTTAGACTAAGACTAGAATCTCTTTCAGCTTCTTCTACTGTCCAGGGGAGGGAAGAAAGGAGAGAAAAGAGAGGGAAGGATATGTTTGTCCTGCATTGTTTTTCCACAGAGCCTAACTCAGAGAATTTGGAGCATCTCTCAGCAGTGAGAAGAGAGAGTGCCTTGGGCACGTGACCTTTAGAAGGATAAAATTTGCTTTTGTAACCTTCTCCCTCATGTCCCTGCAAACACACTGCAAGCTTTAGGCTGGACTGTCAGAAAATGTGTCAGACCACTGGACTTGGATAAAAACACCTTAGCACAGCAAGTAAAGACTTTATCCCTCGTCACATTTTCTATCCAGTAAAACCTAACTGGTCATTTTGCTTACACTTTCTGGCAAAAATTAAACAGTCATCCACCTCACACTCCTGTTTGATTAGCACATGCTTGTTTTCTAAACTCTCATTCATCATACTGACAAGACTTCCTCAGGGACTGGCTTTTGAAACAGCAGCACCATTAAAAGACATAGCTCAGGTCTTGCCTCTCTTTTTCCCACAAAACGGAAAAGGTACAAAGCAAACTTGCATCTGGAATAGTGTCCTCATAGACCACAAGATCCTGCAGTCTTCAAGGAATGCATGCAATGATGCAGTTAAAATTAATGTATAGAACAGAAGATGCATGTGTTCTTCACATTCTTATAACTTTTTCCATTATCTCATTAATTCCCATTAAACAAAACCAACCAAACAAGAACAAACCAAAACCCCCAAGAAAGTAGCCAAGGAGGTTAGTTCCTTCCCAGTTACTTTGTCTGGCTCTCAGTGGTGCCCCAACACAGGCATATTTGGGTTGTTCTCCTTTTGAGATTTGTAATGAATTGCCTCTGGTAACAAACTAATGAGGTTGTCAGAAGCCACAGCAAAACAGTTCTGCAATTTTTAGGAGCAGGATAGGATCTATTCAAAATATATTAAAAAGTACACAAAATTCAGCTTTCCTCAGCGTTATACAGAGAAGAAAAGGCACAAACATCTTTGTTTAATATCATGTAAGGAAAAAGGCAGAATGAGAAATGAAAAATTGCCCAGGAGAAAGAAGAAAAGACGCAGAAAGAAACCTAATGACCCATTTTGCCTGTGGCCATGGAATTGGGAAGCAATACACAGCTAAAGCCCAGTTAGCAAGTACTTTCCAATTTTAAGAAAAAAAGTTTCTCCTCTCCTTGTCATAAATTACTCAAGAGTGCTTTGTGCCAGGAAAGAAGAATATTCTGTACCTAAAAAGATTTCTTCTCTGCTTCGCATACTGTGGAGACCTGAGGTTAAGAAGTTCAAATTCTATTTACAGTCTACAGTACCCATGAGAAGTTTAGAAATTCAAACTCACTAGAAAGAGGGGAAAAAACAAACTTCTGTTACTTCACACTTCAAGGCAGGGGATGCTGAGCTACCTTCTGTGCAACAGAGACAGCTGATTTTCTACCTTTTTTTTTTCCCTCCTGCTATTCAATGGTCAATTTGCAGTCAGCTTTATTAACTTCTGAAAGTGTCAATGGCGGCGAACAGCTGTTTGAAATCCATGGCAGTCCCCAGTTCCATAGAAGAATTTAAATAGGTAAACTGCTGTGCAGTAATCCAGAAATTAGTAGGTGTAATACATCATCTTCTACTATAGCTGTCAGTTCTGGAGGGTCTTGGTTCAGTGCCAAAAGGCAGCCAGGCTGCACAGGAGGCTGCACACCACAGAGCCTTCTGACAGCACAGCTCTGGAAACCTGGGAGATGGTGCCCAGGATTCAGGGATCCGACTGAGCACAGAAAAAAGCAGCAGAAAAGAGCAATTGCTCTGTCAAGGGGTCACTCTAATTACCAAGAATGAAGTAGCACAGGTAGATAATTCCCAGTCACAGGAACTGGTGTAATATTGATAACCAGGATGCAGTAAGATCGTGAGCTGTTGAAAACCACCATGGATCAGGTAATGGTACAGTTCTTCAAGCAAACAGAGTATCCAGACCTCTTTTGTTAACCTAGAGAGAAACATCTATGCCTTGTCACTCTTCTATGGAATCATATCTGATAGCAAAAGAATTCTGTGCCAAGGTATACAGATACACACACTTCTCAATCCACACTTATCCTGAAGTGTGGAGGAACTTCTGGTCAAATGTGTGTCAGTTCTAACTCACTGAAGCTGTCTGTTTGTTCCTGGGGAGAGCAGATGTAAGGTGTGCAGGTGACAGAGGGTACAGTTATCCACAGTGTGCCTACAGATCCCTAGAGCAGCATATGGCAAAATACTCCAAGAGCAGAGGGATCAGGTCCATAGGAATCGAGTTCTGAAAGCAGCCCAAGGATGAGAAGGTAGGACTGAGGCAACACTTGGCCCAGACACCTCAGCACTGTGATTTGCAAGGGGAGACAGTTTATTTCAAGCCTGTGGTACTCATTCCTGCCCTCTCCCTTCTCCAGGCTTCCTGATGCTGCCCAGCTCAGCTGCTGCAGCTCATGGCCCTCTTACCAGGGTAACAGGCACTGCTTTACCCTCTCTCCCTGTACCAAATTGCCATGCAAAGCAGTTCAGCAGTTCCCACACGAGGTACTGAGTCAATCCAACACGGCAGACAGCTACAGGGTAGAATTCCTAGCAGTCACCAAACTGTTAGGAGTGCTTGCTGGCAAATAGGATACACTAGATACTCTGCAGTTGGTAGGGGGGCAGAAGCACACACAATACTGAAGAGAGGAATCTATAGGCTACAAATATAAGGGAACAAGTAGTTCAGAATTCATCTGAGACCCCAAAAGGCTTGGGGGTTCCACCAGCATCAGACCACGGTCAGGACTAGATCTGAGCAAAAAGCAGCCCAGGCAGTTCCTGGTGCTGCTTTACTGTGTGACCCTAAGCAGCAGCTCAGGTCATCCAGCATTCAGCTGGGAAGAGGCACAGGACCTGGGCATTTGTTGCTGCATCTTACCCAGCAATGGTTTTCAGAGCTATTAATTTCCACTTAGACAAATCCAACCTACCCATTGCACAAGATCTGCTTTACTATGTGTGACTTTGGGGACTTAACTAAATGCTCTTGTCAAGTAGAGACATCAAAACAACGGAGAGCAACATTTAATCAGCAGGAATTTAACGGATACTGAGCTACTCAGGTAATTTCATTTATATTTTTAACACTAAAAAGTATTAACCTATGCTTTACAGAACCTGTTTGTGCTGTGTTTTTACGCCACCACATCTGTGCTCTTTCCATGAACTAGCAAAGAGGTTGTTGCTGAACTTCCTTGGCTTTCACTGAGGAGAGTGTTGTGTTCACAGAAGAAATTTCAAGTGTCACCTGGAAAAGTTCAGTGCCTGACAGTGTTATGTCCCTGCAGGAGTGACTTCTCAAGCCAAAATTTGAAAAAGTGACCACTTCCAGGAACAGGGTTAGTTCTTACATATTGATTTTAAACACTGCTACTAATCATGTCTTACTTCTGGTGAAATATTTTTCTGCATTTCTAGTGCTTTCTTGTATTGTTTTGCAAGGCATTGAATTATTCACTGCAAAAATAAGGAGTGCTATATAAGTAAGCTTTTGAGATCACAGATATTTCAAATGTTCATTTTTATGCTTACATGCGTGACAAGCCCTTGACTTCTTTCTTGGCAAGAGGGCAGAAGTTGACTTTAAGTTGAGGCAGGAGCAAAGCCTTTTTGTGAGGTACAGATTCTAGTAGGTATAAATTTAAAAACTAGTAAATCATGCTTGTAAAATACTTTGTGGATTTGTTGTTGGTGGCTGGTTGGTTTTTTTCATAGCTCATTCAATCCTCTGTAAGCTACTTAAATTTTCCCCTAATTTAAAGTGCATGCCAACTCAGTTTAATTATCCTTGTTGCTCTTCATTTAAAGGAAGCATTACTCAAAGTGTGAACACTTTCAGTGTAGTTAAAACAATTTGGGGCAGCAACACCACCCAGCACAGAGTTTAACAGTTAAGTCTTTGGGAAAATATTCATCCAAGAAAACTAAAGGCATTGCACAGATGAAGCACACACATGTTCTAGGGACAAGTGTTCCTTGTACTACAGGGTATCCTAGGAGGCTCTTGTTAGCTAAGGATAACAGGCATCATTTTTACTATTTCAGGAGAAAGCAATGAATACTTTACATTTGGAAACGTGCCTGAGTGACACACAAGAAGACCAACACGAGTCCCAGCAGAGAGGAAAAATTAAATGTGAACAGATGGGCTAATTCAGCATTTTCAAGGAGTGAAATTCAAACGTGAAAGAAACTCAGCCAGCTACACATGACAAGGCCTGTCTCAGTTCAATCTTCAAGCTAGAATGGCAGGCTCTTGATTTTTATTCCTCCCCCCCATATCAAATTAATCTTCTTCAGGAAACTGGCATTTCAGTGGGTTTGAAGCAGTCAA